GATCTTTTGAATTCTAAAACCTGAGTGTGTTTTATCTATTGAAAGAAAAAAAAAAAAAAAACCTGTAAAATATATTCCAGAAAGACTGCTGTGAAAAAAAAAAAGTGAAATAAGAGTTTGAATGGGTTTTACAAAGAGGGGTCTGTGGGCCTTCGGCTGGGCCAGCGCTCTCCCTCGGGCCCCTGGAGCCTCGGTCTTGGCCTGGCTCACACCTGTCCTGCTCTGGTTCAGTGACTGTTCAGAGCCCAGCAGGGGCTCCTGTAGGTGAGGCGTGGGCTGGGCTGGGGCCAGGCCTGATTGAGCCCTTCGTGGCTCTGGCAGACCACCCAGTATTCTGGGAAGACCCCGGGGGTCTTGGCTGGCTCCTGCGAGGGCCCCGTGTGTGCCAGCGGTGGGGCTGGGGGCCAAGCCAAGACTCTCTCGGAACCCAAACTCCAAGGAGGACCACAGTGAGCGGAGGGAGAGTGACTGGGGGGGGGCGTGGGCTGCTCTGTGCCTCAGTTTCCCCATGATGAAATCGCTCTCTGCCTGGGTAGCCCTTGTGGGGGCAGGGGATGACCTGTGACCAGGGAACTGGGGGTTCTACTGGGTTCTGAGCCTTGGATTTCAAACCAGGTAGGGTGATGGGGTGCAAGTCCCCACTCCCCCCACTTTTGGACTAATCCAGCTTTGGGCTGTGCGTCTGGGGCCTCCCACCAGGATGCAGCCAGAAGAGCCTCAGGTCTTCTTTCCTAAGACCCCCTCCCTCCAGTCTACTCTCTGCTTCCTCTGCCTCCCCCTCTGCTCTGAAGGGGACCCGGTGGGTGCAGTGATGTGGAACCCCGTCACTCAGGGCCTGGGCCTCCTTGAGCAGTCTTTCTGGGGGTGCCCAGATAGGCTAGCGCTGCTCCTGAGGGGGGTCTTAGCCAGGACAAGGTCACTTCATCCCACCACATCGGCCTCTTGGCCATTATGGGGGTGCGCCCACCTCATTCCAACCTCGGGGCCTTTGTACTTCTGTCCCCTCTGCCTGGAACACGCTTCCTCCACAGTCCCCCAAGGCTGGCTGCTTCTGGTCCTTCACGTCTCTCCCTGACTGACCTCACCCCTTTCATACCATCCTGGTTTTCTCTTTCAAGCATAGTCTGGGTAAAACACTATTTTTTTTGGTGGCTGGCCGGTACAAGGATCCGAACCCATGACCTTGGGGGTTGTAAGGCTGCACTTTAACCGAGCTAACCGGCCAGCCCAAAGAATTTTTTTAAAAAAACCATTTAATTTAATTATTATTTTGGCTGGTACGGGGGACCCAAACCTGTGAGCTTGGTGTTAAAGGCTGCACTCTAACCAACTATGCCAACCGGCCAGCCCGGGCAAAGCACCTGTCTGTTCACTTGGCTCATTTTGTCTATTTCACACTCCAGTTCAGACTGTGAGTTCCAGGAAGGTGGGGACCTCGTCAGTCTTGTTTGCTGATGTGACACTGAGCCCGAGACTATACCTGACACATGTAGGTGCTCAATAAATATGTGTTAAATGAATTCTGAGAGTCTGGACTTGAAACTCTCAGGTCTGGATGGTTTCCCTCCCCCGCCTTCCCATCCCCCACTCTAATCATCTTCCAATGGGCAGAGAATGAGAGGACCCCCGACCCCACCCAGAGCCCACACCCAGGCAAGTGGGAGCCATGTTGGGCTGAGGGCAGAGGAGGGATGGGACCTGACTCAGGTGCTCACACGCGCCCCGTGGCTGCGGTGGGGAGGGCAGACTGTAGGGGACGAGGGTAGGAGCCTGAGGACCAAGATGGAGTCCGCTGTGTTGGTCCAGGTGGGCAATGCTGGGGCTGGATCAGGGGCAGATCCGGGTAGATCCTGAAGGCAGGGGGNCAGGTGGGCAATGCTGGGGCTGGATCAGGGGCAGATCCGGGTAGATCCTGAAGGCAGGGGGTCTCTTGAGGGGGTAAGAGGGTAAGGACCAGCCCCTCAGTCCTAGCAGGGGCAAGCCTCAGCCCCACGGGCCTTCTCAATAGCCCTGCATGTCCTACCCCTGATGGTGTCGAACACATTTACAGGAACCCCCAGCCCACATTCAACCTTTTTCTGGGGGGCAGCTGGCTGGTACGGGAATCCAAACCCTTAACCTTGGTGTTAGAACACTGGGCTCAACCGAGCTAACAGGCAAGGCTCAACCTAACTTTTTAGAGGACTTGGTGCCAGGTGGGCAATGCTGGGGCTGGATCAGGGGCAGATCCGGGTAGATCCTGAAGGCAGGGGGCCTCTTGAGGGGGTAAGAGGGTAAGGACCAGCCCCTCAGTCCTAGCAGGGGCAAGCCTCAGCCCCACGGGCCTTCTCAATAGCCCCGCATGTCCTACCCCTGATGGTGTCGAACACATTTACAGGAACCCCCAGCCCACATTCAACCTTTTTCTGGGGGGCAGCTGGCTGGTACGGGGATCCAAACCCTTAACCTTGGTGTTAGAACACTGGGCTCAACCGAGCTAACAGGCAAGGCTCAACCTAACTTTTTAGAGGACTTGGTGGGGTATCATTTTGCTCTTGACATCACTTGGCCATCGTGAGAACACCCCCCTTTCCACATTGGGCTGTTTTTGTTCTGATCACCATGACCATTTGTGAAATCTAAGAACTTACGTGTTGTTCCCAATAATAACCAATAATAGTAAAAGAAGTAACGCTGAGTGCCTGCTACGTTGCAGGCCCTGGAAAGTCACCTGCTTTCTGGGCCTCAGTTTCCTCATCTGTACAGCAGGACTAACACGCGTAATAGCACTCACATAGAGCTGTTGTGAGGATTAAATGAGCCTTTAAAATAATAACCTGGCAGGTGGGAAGGGCTTGGTGGTTTCCCCGTTTTGTCTCGCTGACATTTTCTTTGTTCGCAGAGAGCTCAGAGACCCTTGGTGGGGCCCCAGTCAGCTGCAATCCAGCCACATTCTTGCAGCCTTGTGCCCAAAGGGGTCATGTGCCTCCAGGGCTGGGTTCTTGGGGAGCCTGTGCCCCACAACTCCCCAATACCTGCCTGTGGCCAGGAGGCCCTTTATTGCTCCCTGGTTCTGCCCTGTCACCCACACCAGGCCTTTGCTCCTGCTGTGTCTGGAGCCTGTGCCCCACAACTCCCCAATACCTGCCTGTGGCCAGGAGGCCCTTTATTGCTCCCCGGTTCTGCCCTGTCACCCACACCAGGCCTTTGCTCCTGCTGTGTCCTCTGCCTGGGCTGCTCATCCCTCCTGGACACATCTGGAAAAGCTTCCTCCTCCAGGAAGCCCTCCTTGCCATCCTCAGGGAGGCCTTTGCTCTCCTGTATTCCAGCCCTGACTGCTTGGGCTGGGAAGGGCCAAGTCAAGCTTGAGGGAAACTCCAGAAGGGTCCTCTGCTGCCCCATGCACGGGCTGCTGGGGCAGAGGGGTGGGGAGGGGGACTGGATGTTCCGGACAGGGGCCCTCCTTACAGGGGCCTGCGTGTGGGGTGGGCATGACATCAGTCCCTCATGACCTAGTAAATGTTTATGGGCAAAGGGGCCTGGGTTTTGGGGCTCCCTGGAGCCCAGCGAGCAGGCATCCCTTCCTGCCTCACTCCGGGGGGCCTGGCAGGCCTGCTCCAGCTCTGGCGGCCGGCCCAGAAATGAATGGGTGGGCGGCGAGCACAGCCCCTGGTCTGAGCTGCCACTCCCTCAAATGCAGAGGGGAAACTGAGGCTGGGAGGTGGGAAGGGGTTTACTGGCTTTGAACTTCCCTTCTTCCCCTCCCTGGGCCTCAGCTTGCACATCTTTGAAAGGGGGCCGTGAGATCTGGTTTGGGGTTTGGGCTCCACAAGAGCCAGGAGGGCTGGGGGAGGGTGTGCAGGAGGCAGAGGCCTGGACAGGTGGTGGTGCAGGGCCGAGAAGTGACCTCTGTGGGGCTTTGGACAAGTTCCTTCCCCTGTCCCTCAGTGTCCTCAGACAGAGATTATGGGCTATACTGTCTACTCTTGGAACCTGTCACCTCCCGGTTGCCACGGGCAGGATGGACGGGAGGGAAAGGAGGTGAGGCGAAAGTGAACTGCAGGGAGGAGGGATGGAATCCAACTCCTCCGTGGCCATCACAGGGCCCGTCAGGTCAAGCCGTGGTGGGCTCTGCCCTCTGCAGGCCACAGTGGGGACAGACAGGGCTGGTGCAGGAACTGCAGGGATGGGGCACCTGCCGAGTGTGCTCTTCCCAGGCTGGAACTTTCCTCATGGAACCTCTCTGAGGAAGGAGCCATCATTCCCACCTGCCAGGCGGGACAGCTGAGGCTCGTGGGGGGCCTCCGTTGTCCTAGAGTGGGGAAAGGATCAACCGCTGGGATTCGAACCCAGGGCCCTCATTTTAACGATGGCTCTATTAAGGCTTGTAGGGCTCCATCCTTCCTCAGGGAGCCCAAGTCCAGGCTCAAGCACCCAGCCCGACGTGACCCTGAGCTGGCGTCTGGCCCCCTCAGCCTGAATGTTTGTGGACATCTGTGCCAGCTCCAGGGAAGATCCAGGGCAGGATGTCCGGTGTCACATGGGGCATGGAGGGGGTCCAGGGGAGGCTGGGAGGCTCGGCGTGGCAGGCGATGAGGCAGGGCGGAGGAAAGGACCTGGACTCACTATATAGGGGCAATCAAAACAAGGTGGGGGCCGCTGCCGCCGGGCGGGCCATTCTCTGGGCTCTGCACACGTTTAATTTTAGCCGCTCAGCCACTGGCTGAGTTATTACCCGGTGGACAGAGGAAGAAAGCGAAGTCTGGCTTTCAATCATGTCTAGGCCCCGTGGGGGTGCTGGCGAGGAGGAAAGGAAAGGGGCGAGGCTGGACACTGGTGAGGAGGGGGTGCAAAGGCCACCACTGGCCCTGCCTGCCCCTGCTGTCCCCACCCAGAGCCAGCCAGCCCCCTGCCTGGCCAAGCACAGCTCTGCTCCCGGGTTGGGGCCTGGAGAGCCCTAATTTATGGGCCGCTGCGGTGAGTCGGGGCTTGCCGGGCCTTCCTCTCTGGCTGCCAGGAAGCACCGAGCCAGCTCCAGAGGAGCCAGGGCCCCGCCAGCATCCCGGTGCCACCTAAATCACTCGGCCTGACAGGCTGCGGGTGAGGACCATGCGTCTCTCCCTGGTCACCACCGCTGACCCCTCACCTGGCCGGGCCAACAGGGTCCTGTCCCATTACACCCCAGCCCCAGTGGCTTCTGGTGACCTGCCCGATGGGAATGAGGCTTCCAGGCCAGGCCGTCCCAGACTCTCTGCTCCAACGCCCAGGAATTTGGAGCTGGGGCCGTGTTTTCCACATGCTCTTGGCTTCGGGGACAGGCCCAGAGAGCGGATGGCCCACAACCTGCAGGGGGGGTCATGGCCAGAGCTGAGGAAAGGGCTGTGGGCTGCCAGGCCCAGTTTCTACTCACTCGGTGGCCCCTCGCATGCTCCCACCCTATCCTGAGAACTGGGGGAGGTAAGGTGACCGGGTGTGTCCTGGCCAAGGCTCACCTCCCAGGCTAGAAGCCTGCTGCCCTCTCTTGTCTGCAGGGCCACTCTGGCGCCCTTGGTCCTGTCGAGAACAAGAGCTGGGATGACAGGGGACATGTGTGCCGGGCCTTATCTTTCTCACTTCCTCCCAGATCTGCCCTGAGCCTCCCTTGCTGGCTGGTGCGATGCTGTCACAAGCTGTCAGGGACACTTACGCACACATAGACACAGAATTTATTTCTAGATGCATTTTGGCCTGCTGAGATCCCGGCGGAGGGCAGGGCTCACACCTTGGGTTTCGCGAACAGCTCCCAGCCCTCCAGCTGGCCCATCTTGAACAAAGCGGCAGCGGCGCCCATGTACACGCAGCTGGTGGCGGCGACCCCATAGCTGTGAGCTGCAGAGTAGGAGAGAGAGTGATGTCAAACAGGTGGGGACTTGGCCTGTGCCCACCCCAGGAGCTGGTCCGAGACCCCCAAGAGCTACTTCCGCCTTCGAGATTTGCTTTGCTCCACCTGGGCTACGGGCTCTTCAGGGATGAAGTCACTCAACCCAAACAGGTGGGGACTTGGCCTGTGCCCACCCCAGGAGCTGGTCCGAGACCCCCAAGAGCTACCTCCGCCTTCGAGATTTGCTTTGCTCCACCTGGGCTACGGGCGCTTCAGGGATGAAGTCACTCAACCTTCCAACAAACTCGGGAGGGGTGTGAGACTTCGGAGATGGGGAAACTGAGGCACACAGGGAGGCTTGAGCCCAGTCCCTTTGTGGCAGGAACTCAGGCTGTCGGGTTCTCACCACTGCTGCCCTGGCTCTGGACTCTGGGCTCTGGAACTGCTGGGTGTCCCAGCCAGGGCTGGGCCAAGTGTCAAATCTAGACCTTGGCTTGCCCCCAGCCTCCAACCAATTCTGGTGGGAGCTGGGGAGGGGGAGGGCCTCTCCAAGGTCTTGACACAAAGGCAGCAGCGATGGCATGGGCTTCCTTCCCCGGCACCCTCTCTCTCTTCCCCACTGGAACCCGCCACAAAACACAAGGGTTGGCAGGCTGGGGGCACCGACCCTGGAGCCTGGGCCCAGGGGAGGAGCAGGAGCAGCACCCACTGCTTGTCGTAGGAGGGTTCCCTTGTGCCAGGCTGGCCTGGGACCTGGCCCTGGCTCCCACCAGGGCTGCACCTTTTGCTGGCTGCTGAGAAGACCACTTGCTCCAGTGTGACCTCAGGCCACCTGAACCCCTTCCCTGAGCCTCAGTTCCTGAATCTGTAAAGTGGGGGTGGTGAGAGCAGCTTCCTACAAGGCTCTGGGTCTGGCCCGGTTCTGGACACCAGGAGAGGGACGGCAGTGTGAGGACCCCCACCTCCTCTCTGTGCTCACAGGCTAGGGGTGGAGACGGGCACTGACAAGGCGTGGCAGACAGGAGGGGGTGTGGAGTGAGGACGGTGGGGGTGCTAGATTGTACACAGGGTGGCTGTGACAGTGAGGGGGAGCCATGCTGACATTTGGGGGAAGAGCGTCCCAGGCAGAGGGCACAGCCAATGCAAAGGCCCTGGGGCAGGACCGAGCTTGGTGTGCTGGAGGAACAGCGAGGGGGCCGTGTGGCTGAAACAGAGTGAGCGAGGGGGGGTGGGGAGAGGCGACAGGGCAGGCAGGGAGGGGACAGAGCAGGTTGTGCAGTATCCTGCAGGCTGAGCCGAGTGCTGTGGGGAGCTGTGGGGAGCAGTCGGGGGCAGGAAGGCCTAGCGTGGTGGGCATGCAGTAGGTGCTTAGCAGCAACTGCAGTTGTGATCACTGAACTGGCTGGTGTTAAAGGACGCAGGGAGGCTTCGCAGCGACCGCCCTGTTGGGGCAGTGCTCTGTGCACCCCGGCCTCTGCTGGCTCCCCATCCTGGATGGAGCAGAGAGGGTAGAGGATCCGTGGGTCAGCGGAGATCAAGGGTCATTGTACAGGTCCAGGAGGGGGAGGGTTGGGGGAGCCCACTCACTGCGTGCTCCCAGCGTCAGTCCTCCGGCGCAGCCACCAATGAAATAATTCAGGGGGTCATCGGGCTTCTCACGGACCTGGGCGCTGACGCAGGATGTGAGGCCAAACATGGCTCCGATGGCAGCTGCAGGGGTAGATGGGAGGCACGGGCACTGAGTCGGACCCAGAGAGGGCCTCAGTAGAGCACCCTGGGCACTCACTGCCAGAGGGGGCCGAAGCGTCCAGTTTGGATGGAGACAGACGCCACCAGTCAGCTAGCTGCTGCCCTTCTGGGCATCGTGCTCCCAGCCCCGGAGCTGGTCTCCTGGTGTGTGTCCCCGATAAAGGATCATCCTCTTTCCCCGTGGATGCTGGCAGAGAGCTGAGGTAGCCCTGGAACATGCTCCGAGAGCTGGGGCAAGTGATGGGGGCCAGGGCAGTGCCAGGAGAGCCCCCCAAAGGAGTTAAGACACCCCCAGCCTTGCCTGGCCCCACCTGGCTCACCTGCAGTAAACGTGTATCGTCCCACCCTGGCCACTCCCTCGAGGATGGAGTCCGCGGGGTTGAGTGCGATACTGTAAGCAGAGACGGTCAGGCCTGTGGACAGAGGGGACAGAGTCGGCTCAGACACTGGCCACCTGGTTGCTCTCTCTCCCTGGGTCCTCACAATTTCCCCCAGGCAGCTTGGGCACCGGCTCTCTTTGCCCAGGGCCTTATAGCTGCTGAGCGGCAGAGCTGGATTCGAACCTGGGTCCACCGCTCCAAAGCCTAGGCTCTTCCTCCCGACTCACCCCCAGGCCTCCGCCCTGCTAGACTACATGTTCTCAAGGCCTGGTCCATGCCAGCTCCTGCAGGACACCCGCCTTCAGCACAGCACCAGCCAGCAGAGGTAAGGACTGTCCACACTGTGGGCATGACACAAGGCCCTGGAGCCATGCGCCACCAGCTCAGACACCACAGTGGCCTGCAGGCCCCGACTCTGGGCTCCCATCAATGGCTCTATTCTCTTGTGGGGCCCGGGGCTCCTCAGCCTAATCCCCCTTGGCAAACAAGGCCCTGGAGCCATGCGCCACCAGCTCAGACACCACAGTGGCCTGCAGGCCCCGACTCCGGGCTCCCATCAATGGCTCTATTCTCTTGTGGGGCCCGGGGCTCCTCAGCCTAATCCCCCTTGGCAGAGGCTCTGCTTCCGGGCTGCCAACGCCTCCTCCTTGCCACTCCTGGGCCCCTCTCTGCTCCGGCAGCTCGGGCCCGGGCCTGTCCCCCACACCTGGCTGACTTGGCTGCCGTCCATGCCCGCTCGGCCTTGCCACTCTGGTCAGCTTTTTTATCCCTCCCATCTCCCCCGCTGCCCTGCGCTGATGCTGGCTTTTCTGCATGAGGGGCAGGGCCTGGAGCCTCATCCTGGCCCACCAGCCCAGCCGGGAGCCTGGGGCACCCTGAGTAAAGCGGGGCAGGCCCTGGGCCACCTCCCCGCCTCCTGCCCCCCAGCCCCTCTACGGTGGCTGGCAGAATAAGACTCGCTGGCTGCTTATCACCGAGGAACAGGCTCCCCCATCCTCCAGCCAACCCCACTCAGGGAGGAGAAGCACCCTTCCTCTCCTACAGCACCCTCAATGTGGTCCAGTTGCTGTACAGACCTCCTGGGGCCAGCCCATCCCAGAGAAAACAACTTGCCACGGGTGGGCGACAAGGGCAGCCCTTGCCCTTGCCCTCAGGACCTGATGGGCTCAGCCTTGCTATGCCCCCTGCAACACTTCGGGGAAGTGAGGGGACCTCAGAGAGGTTAAGTGAGCCTGGAAGCCAGGTTGAGTCTGACCCAAGCTCACGTGCAACCCTTCATGATGTCTCCAGGGAAGTGGGCTGTACCCCAGTTCCCCAACCTCCAAATTTATGGGGCCTTCCAGGCTGAGCAGCACCATCCCCCCGCCCCCAGCCCCTGCCATAGCCTTGGCTGGGACTCAGCTCAGGCTGGTTCTGTCCCACGGGAGCCTCTGGGGGCACTGCTCACATCTGGCAGTGGTGCTCATCTACAGAACGATCCTGAGGAGAGCCAAGACTGCTCCCCCACTGCACAGATGGGGAAACTGAGGCCCAGGGATAGGGGTAAAGAGCTGCATATGGGTAAGGAGTGCTTTGCGGATCTTGTTTCTCCCAATCCCATGACAAAGCTTAGGATCCCTAAGTGAAGTGCTGGGGCCATGGCGTGGGTGAGGGCAGCCTTGTCCAGGGTCAGGGGTGGGAGTCTGGTCCGGGGCTCCCTCCAGCCCTCACCTCATGCCCCCTGCCCCGCAAGCTGCCATCCTCAGTCGCTTTGGCTCACACACGCACACACCCCAGCTCATAAAGATTCTTAATCAGATTCCCAGCCCACCTGGGACCTAGGAGTCCCAGTCCAGGGCTGAGCAGCCACAAGGGTCTTTTAACCCTCTTGCCCACCGAAGGGGAACCACTGACATGATTCAGTGATGGCTTCTGGACCCAGTCACAGAATGACACCTGGGGGGAAACTTACTGACCTCACCCCCACAGGCCAGTGGTTCCAGCCCAGGGACACCCAGGTTACAGAACATGCCTGACATGGCGAATGCCCCCACCAGCCTATGTCCCCTCCAAAGTCCTTGAACTGGGAGCGGATGCTCCAGGCCCCCTGATTATCCTGTAGAATCCAAAAGCCCCACCCCAGCTCTTCCCCAGAGATCATTCAATATGGTGACTCACCAGACCCACCCCTCCAGGAGTCCCCCAAGCACAAGGATCTCTACTGGCTCGGACCTTTCCACAGCCCCCCGTTGCCCTTCAAAAGCCATCCCCCATCACCCTGATGCCGCCTGCTGCTGGCTCCCTCTGAGCCTCCCACAGTGACCTTCCAGACGCAGTGAGCATTCATTCATTCATTCATTCAGTTACTGCCATTCATTCGCTTGTTCTTCACAGTGTGCCCACAAGGTGCCTTGCTGGGCACTCATTCATTCCCAAAGTTACTGAGTACCCACAAGGTGCCGCATTCATTCACTCACTCAATTACTGTATGTCCAAAAGGTGCTTCATTCATTCATTCATTTGTCCATTCATTCACAGTTATGTGTCCACAGGTGCCAGACTTCGCTGAAAGTACAGGCTCCCTGCTGTCCAGGGGTGCACCATCTCAGGGAAGCAGACACGAAACAAGTTACCTCCCTCAGGTGAGGAGTGGGGGTGGCAGGGAATGAAGAGGGGTTGGGGCAGTAAGAAGCACATTTAAGCCAAGGCGTGTATGTTGAGTGGAGTTGGCCAGTGAAAAATTCAGGGAATGTGAGCAACACAGTGTAACACTGAAAGCCCCCTGGGCACCATGGAGGGCTCATGGAAGAGAGTGACCACCCCGAAATCTGACTCCCTTGGCAACTCCCTGACATGGCACCTCTGTCAAAGGTTCCTACCCCACCCAGCAAGACTCTCAGCAAGGCCCCCAGAGTCTTCTTACTCAGCAGCACCCCACACCCAAGACAAGCTCAGTCTCCCCCAAAAGCCTCCCGAGACTTCAGTCCATCCTACAGCGTGTGCATGTGTGAGCACGGGCACGTGCTCCTTCTAACACAAACACCAATGCTCATGTCTTTCTCGTTTCCACATCCACCTCTCAAAACCCCCCTGAAGGCCCTGCATGCCCCTCAGGTCATTCTCTCCTGCTTTAATTTCCCCTGAAATACACCTATGATCCCCCACAAAAAAAGCTTTGTCAAAATTTCCCTCAGTGTCTCCCCTTAAGAATTCTCCAGAATAACTTCCCCTGTGTGACACCCCAACACTGCCCGGCTCTGAGGCTCTATAAGTGCTCCCCATAGACCTATCAGACCCTATCACACACCCTGGACTCTCTCAAAAACCCATCATTCATGCCCACTCCACATAATCCCATCCCTGGGACTCCCCCTTCAGCCGTTTCTCCTGAAGACTGTCCATAAGGAGCCCACGGGAACATTCCTTGTCTCAGAGACCCCTAGGGGCACGTCAGCAGGCTGGCTCCAAATGACCCCAAGGCAGTTAGCAAACCTCTCCACACCCACTTCAGTTCCCATCTCCGAGACATGAAGATAATAATGATCAGTCTTATTAAATACGCAGAAAATGATGCCTCCCAGTGGAGACTCTGCCAGGCCCTGTTTCAGATGCTGAAGACAGGGAGGTGACCAAAACCGTCATATCTACTCCTCAGGGAGACGGAGAATTAAAGGAGACTGGAAGGAGCCAGATTCTGGGGTCTTCCATATAGGGGAATGACAGGGCTGTGGGTCCCCTCATGACCCCCCAAGGTTACCCTTATAGTAGCTCCTGACCTCCTTCACCTAGGGCCCCTCTGGTGGCCCCAATAAAAGCTTCAGATGTCCCTGCCCACCCAGCAACTCTTGACCCTAGAAAGACCTCATTCCACTCCAAAACTTTCTCAAACTTTTGTACCCCCACAGACGCCCCCAAACGACCCATGACCCCCTAAATCTCAAACTTACCCCGTTGGCAAGTCTCCGGACTCCCTCGTTTCTTCGATCCCGTTAAGGGCCCTGCCTCACTCCACAACCTCCCGGAGCCTGGTGATCACTCCACCAAATCCCTTCACGCCCCCCTCCCCGACCCCAGCACCCAGGGACCGCCTCTGACGACCCCAGTGACCAACTTGTCACATGTACCAATACCTCCCGGTGCCCTCCAACCCTGCCTGACACTCCCCTCCACCGCCTACCTCACACGAGAGCCCCCCGTGGCCGCCCCAGACACCCCGGTGACGACCACATGCCACCCCGCGAGATTCCCAGGCCCCCGTGACCCACTGAGACAGCCCCCAGTGACCCTATGACCTCCCTGCGCTCTCCGCCCTCGGCGCCTGGGTGACGCTCACCGACGGCGCCGCCGATACCGGTGCTGACGTAGGCTTTGCGGTGGCACTCGGTGCCTTCGGGGATGTCACTGTAATGTTGAAAAAGCCTTCGCGCCATGGCCGCGCACCCCGCGCCCCGCACGGAGGACCCCTCCGGCTCTGCGCCACCAAGGGCAGCCTCCGCTGGCTCTCGCGAGACTTCCGGGTGGCGCGCGCAGCCTCCTGGGAGGACGGGCCGGCAACAAGAGCGCAACTTTATTGAGCGCCAGGGACATGGACACGGGTCTCGCGCACGGGCCGGGAGCGAGCCTGGCGTAAGGGAGCTGCCCCGGGACTATTCCTGGAGGGGGAAACTGAGGCCGACCGCTCTCAGTGAAGACAGGTTTCGCTGGTCCCAGCTCGGGGATCGTTTGACTGCCGGGGTGGGGTCTAATCTAGAGGCGGCACTGCGACAGGTGCTAGCCTATCCGCGTGCACAGACCAGGGCGCGGGACAGGCCTCCACTCGGTAGGAGGGAGGTGTCATTATGGGGCGCGGCGTGACAGGAATATGGCCACCCCGGGAGCCAGAATCTGCACGGGGAATGCTCATGCCCTGTGGCCGGTCCCCAATCCAGAGTGAACCGCGTGCGACTATTTGGGGGCGTGACCAGGACCGGGGCGGGGCTTAACGTGAAAGTGACCAATCCCAGCGCTAGGATCTTAGCAGGCCTTGCCTGTGATCAACCTGAGGCTTGGCCCAGCCCCGCGTCGGATGAAGCAAGCGCTTGACTTGCGGTCGTGGGCGGAACCGGAGGCGTAACCTGAAACAGTATTGACCAATCCGGAGGGGCACAATGGTCTAGGGGGCGTGGCCATGCCTGGGACTGCCCCTGAAAGGTTCGTGGCCAATCACGTGGATCCGAAAGAAAAGCAGCGGGTTCTGGGGGCGTGGTCAGGCTTGTTGTTTTGCGGAGTTCGGACCAATCCTGGTGTTAACTTCTACATAAGGCGGGGCATTTCTCGAAGGTGTGGCCAATCCCGTTGCCAGGGCCTGAGCGGGGCGAGCCGCCTCGGGACAAGGATAACCTGGGGGGCGTGGCCTGCCTGGATTTTGGCCAATCTTGGAGTTTGGCCGGGCTCAGGGGCGGAGTTTCAAGGTGCCGGAAGCAGTGAGCGTATTTGGGTTTGAGAACCGCACAACCCAGGTCTGGGGGTTGGGGCCTAGAGGGGGCCGCGGTCGATAGCGCCGAGGTCCTGAGGGGCGTGGGCCGTCAGGGGGCGGGGCCTTGCCTGTTTCGGGCCGCCCAGGGGCGTGGCCGGGCCTGGGCCGCGTACGGGGCCATGTCGGTTCCGCCTGCCCTGCAGATCCGAGAGGCGAATGCACACCTGGCAGCCGTGCACCGACGCGCGGCGGAGCTGGAGGCCCGGCTGGACGCGGCGGAGCGCATGGTGCGCGCCCAGGCCGAGCGCCTGGCCCGCCACGACCAGCAGCAGCGGGCCGCCCTGGACGAGCTGGGCCGCGCCAAGGACCGGTGAGGCCCGGGGCCCGCCAGGTGGACTTCTCCGAGGAGGTGGGCGGAGGCAGAGCCGAGGCTGGAAAGGGAGAAAGGGCAGGGGGAACCGTGTGCATTCACGTGGAGGCTGGACTGCCTGTGGGATTGAAAAAAACACACCAAAAAGTCGAATTAGTCATCAGTATGTGAAGCTGAGAGATGTGCCACAAGTGTGAATTTCGAACTTCAAACAGGTCCCGCTTTCCCACAGGCAAAATTAGCTGGTACTGAGTGGTGCAAGGACCACCGACCGCCTGGCGTAGGCACTGGGAGCCCTGGTAGGTTCTTGAGCGAGGGAGGATGGGATCATATCAGCTTTTTTGAAGAGTCTTTCCAGCAGCTGAGGATTGAATGGGATCAGACAAGCGCCTAGGGAGGAGAGGGGAGCTGAGGCCCAGGTGGGAAACAATTCAGAGCTAACTGGATTCATTCATTCATATTTACTGAGCACCAATGTGCCAGGCACTGTGCGGGGCACTGGAGCACATCGGTAAGACCTACACGGCCATGCCCTTAGGGAGTTCACGGTCGGGTGGAGAGACAGACACATCACTGGCGGTTACAACATGGGGTGGTCAGGGGCTGTGATGGACGGGCACACAGAGCTCAGAGGGGGCCCAGAAGGAAGGCTTTCTGGAGGAGGAGCCATCTAAGAACAACAAATGGGAAGAGATGATTAGGAAGAGGCAACTGCAGGAAGAGTGAAAGGGAGTGATGAGGGTTGTTTCGGCTTGGGCTGCCATAACAAAAGACTATAGACTGGGTGATTTAAACAACAGAGATCTATTTCCCACAGTTCTGGAGGCTGCAAGTCTGAGAGCAGGGCACCAACATGGTCAGGGTCTACTGAGGACTCTCTTCCTGGCTTGCAGACTGCTGCTGTCTTGCTGTCTTCACGTGGTAGAGCCAGTGAGTTCTTTGGTGTCTCTTCTTATAAGAGCACTAAACCCAACCCTTGTGACATCATCTAACCCTTATTATTCCCTCCCAAAGGCTCCATTTCCAAATACCATTCCATTGGGAGTTAGGGCTTCAACATATAAATTTTGAGAAGACACGAACATTGTCCATAATAAGAGGGTACCTTAAGGCAGTGGCGAAGAGTATGGATTTTATCCCAATGGTGATGGGCAGCCTCAGGAGGGTAGGGAGCAGGGAGGAGCTAACCCTCTGGTCCCCTAGTACCTAAATTGTCCCATCTTGCCTTCCTGCCAGTGAGATTGCTGCTCTGCAGGAACAACTGCAGACCTCTGAGGCCACTGTCCACAGCCTGAAGGCCACTGTGCACCAGCGGGACAAGCTCATCCAGCAGCTGCAGCCCCGGGCCGAGCTGCTGCAGGACATCTGTCGCCGCCGGCTGCCCTTGGCTGGGCTACTGGCTGCCCTGGCTGAGGCCGAACGTCTGGGGCCCCTGCCAGCCAATGACCCAGACCACCCACTCCCTGGTGGGCCTGGTCCACCTCTTGCCAACAGCACTGGGGACGAGGGGGACAGGGACCACCTCCAGCCTGCTGTGTTTGGGACCACAGTGTGAGCCCCGAAGTACAGATTCCAGAATGAAGACTGAAGGCTCCTCTCTTTAGGGACTTCCACTGCTGTGGGTGTCCTTTGGGGTCACCAAGTGTCCTGGAGGGGACCCCATGGCAGAGTGGTAATCCTGTCCAAGTATCAAAACAAGCTAAAAAGTCAAAAGTTTTGAAACAGGCCCACAGGCCAAATGCGGATGTTTAGCTCAGACAAGTTTTGTTTTGTTAAGTTCTGTTTTGTTTTAAACTTTGAATCAATCACCCATGTTGAGAAACTGGCAATGCTTACACAAAAAAATCTGGATTTCTAGCTTCAGACTTGGCTATGCTTGCCTGGATCAGAGTCCCGGGTACACTCTGTAGCCAGGGTGTGAGTTTCCACTTGTCCTCTCCCCTTTCTTAGGTTATCCGTCTAGCCCCCAAAGCATCTGAGTTTGAGACCTCTCTTTTTTCTGTCTGGTGGAGGCAGATGGTATCAAGTTCCATATTAGTTTGAATTTTCCTTCCCCTTTTTCCCCCTGCCCTGATTCTTATTTCTCATTAAGTATCCCCCATCCTGGGGCTAAAGCTTGAACTTTTTTTTATCCCAGACCAAACTTGGGAGCTTCAAGCCTCATGCTATCTATCTTACAGTGGTTGTATGAAGACAATTTTTTAATCCTATATATTTTCCCTAACTATGTCCTTCCCTCAACCTTTAACCCAGAAGGAAGAGCAGGCTGGTGAGAAAGACTGAGATGCTGGCAACTGCGTTGCCCAGGAAGTGTGCATCCCTCAACCTTTTCCTGATGGCGGCCTGCCTCAGGACTTTGCACTGGCTGTTTCCTCTGCCTAGAATGCTCTTCCCCCTGAGCTCCACATGATTGGTCACTCAGGTCTTTTCTCAAATGCCACCTCCCCAGAGAGGCCTTTCCTGACCACCTTATCTGAAGGAATTCCTCCTCCTACCCCCAGACCTTGCCATTACCCCATTTTATTTTCCTTAACAGAACTTTTTACCATCAGAGTATAAGCTCCATAAGGGCAGGGATTTTTGTCTCTCTTGTTCTATTTTTGTTTGTCTTTTTCTTTTGGGCAGCTGGCTGGTAACAGGGATGGAACCCTGAACCTTGGTGTTAACAGCACCAGCCAGCCCTCTCTTGTTCTGTCATCAGTGCCTGATGTATTCTGGAAGCCCCAGCAGGAACAGGATGGGTCTGTGGGCCCCAAACGGAGCTGGGGCTCCCCAGCACATCTGATGAAGCCCCCCGGAGCTAGTCTAGCTTTTGTAGCAAGCAGCTATCTCCTTTTTATATCCCCTAGAGAATCTATTTTTTAATTCCCTCTTTCTATACTGTCCTTCTTGGCTTGAGACATTCAGGGCGCTTTGCTCTTTATTAAACCAGGGAAAGGAGAGAAACTCTGTGCCTTTCTGTGCCCGGCCTGGTCGGCAGCCGTCTCCCATCCTCCTTACTCAGGGAATTGCCACACCAGGAACCGCCAAGGGGCAGGGCCTGTTTCAGCCTGGAAAGGTCGGTGGCCATCCCCAGCCCTTGGGACAGCGCCACCTATCCGGCCGGCATCTTACAGGGACCCCTCAGTGCAGTAACAATGGCCCCATTTTCTACTCTGGATGAAAAAAGGGGGGCTGTTTTGTACAAAGGGAAGGCAGGCTGGGGCCTGTCTGTGCTCAAGAATAAACCGGATGATTTCTCAGCCTGGGTCCTTCATGGTTTCTTCCTGGCACGGGGGCTGGAGAAGTGGCCTTCTGTGTTTCTCGTGGCCTGGGGTGGGGCCCTGCTGGGTCTCGAGACAGGCGCTTGTGCCAGGCATTTTACACACACAATTGCATCTGATCTTCACAGCCGCCTGTGGACACAGGCCTTGCCCCCATTTTACAGCTGTGGAAAGTGAGGTCTCAGAGAAGTCATTGAAACGGCCTCAGGGTCCGGAGGGCCAGGGCCACTCCCAATTGTGGGCAGTTATTGTTGAAATTCTTACTCTCTTTTAAAAATAAGGAGATGACAGATAAAATAAGTAAAAAGAAAAAACCAAAACAAACAAACAAAAAATGAGATGACAAAACAGAGCTACAATAATTGTGGTTATATTTTACATTTTTCTATAGAAAAAACAAACTGATGCTGCATAACACTCAAAAAAACACAATGAAGTATTTCTCTGCCTACTTGAAGAATTTTGGACTGCAGGAAGTCATCAGAATTTTTGCAGCAAAATGTCACTATGGGTTCTCATACAACCAACGGTGTTACTTACACCAGCTGGGGCTTGGAACACTTGAGTCGCTTGTGATCTATGGATTGCTTTCTGACTGCAAAGGCAACACAATGGGGCTGTGTCTGAGATAAGGCCAGGCTTGGAAAAGCCTCCGATGATCCCCAGGTCTGGGCTGGTGGTGGGTCTCCAAACAAGGCTTGCTTTAAGTCCTGAGAAATCCAACCATCTCAGCTGGCAGTTACGTCCTGAGTCTCAGTCGGAGGCCCGCTGTGCCGGTGGTCTTGGTGCCTCTCGGTTTATGTTAGGGGTCAGGCTCATCTATTTGGTATCACAGTGCCCCGGGCCCACCAGCTTGTCCCGAGCGAGACCACCAAGTTGTGCTTAAGAACTGAAAACTAGGGCCGGCCCGTGGCTCACTTGGGAGAGTGCGGTGCTGACAACACCAAGGCCACAGGCTCGGATCCTGTATAGGGATGGCCGGTTAGCTCACTGGGTGAGTGTGGTGCTGACAACACCAAGCCAAGGGTTGAGATCCCCTCACCAGTCAATTAAAAAACAAAACAAAACAAAGAACAGAAAACTAACCCAACAAAATACCTGTGATGACAAAAATACCATGACTGGCTCAAGACAACAGAAGTGGCTTTGTCTCAGTTAACATGGAGATGTCCATAGGATTCGCTGTGTCTTGGCTCAGTTCTCGCTGGTTTGATGACCTCTCACTAGACATGGGTCTAGGCAGGAGGTGTTGGGGCCCCAGGACCCAGGCTGCCTTTAACCTTTTTCAATGTTGATCTCTCAGTAATTTTGTCAGCTCAGGTTTTGGCTGAGCTGCCCAATGAGGCCCAGAGAGGGGGAGGGACATGCCCTGGGTCACATGGGAATCAGGCCTCCCCCCAGGACACTTCAGCCCTTGCAGAGCTGTGGTCTGTCCCTTCTCGTGGCAGCCAGGGACGCCCACCCGGGCCTAGCTCTGTCCTAAGCCCTGACACTGTGGAGCTGGGAGTGAGTAAGCAAGACTGAGGGTGGAGAGCAGCACCAGGGACAACACAACTCTGCCCCTATCAGCCCCACCCCCCGGCGCGGTGAGAGTTACAGCTGGGGCCCCTCCCAGTCTCCAGAGCCACTGTCCCTTAGCAACAGTCTTGCCAGGCAGAACGCGCAGCCAACGCCGGGGAAAGCAGGCAGGACTCAGGACGGACAAAGGCCAGGTGAGTGAGGAAGGGCCCGTTGGCCAGGGTGGGCTTGCAGCTCCCTGCCCTGAGCCTGGCCGGCCGGCAGGGAGTTCCACCTTGACCTCTCTCCTATTCAGCTGCCCAGAGAGCCCCGACCCAGCATGGATACTGTGGACGCCACTGTGGAGAAGCTCCGGGCACAGTGCCTATCCCGAGGCGTCTCGGGCATCCAAGGCCTGGCCAGGTGAGCTGTCCCCTCGCATCTCCCCAACCCCAGCCCCAGCAATCATTGTCTAACTACACTTCTTGTCCCCCAGGTTTTTCCGCCGCCTGGACCGGGATGGGAGCCGATCCCTGGATGCGGGGGAGCTCCGGCGGGGCTTGGCTGAACTGGGGCTGGCGTTGGCCAAGGCTGAGGTGGAGGCCGTGTGCAGGCACTGGGACCGTGATGGCAGTGGGACACTGGACCTGGAGGAATTCCTGCGGGCACTGCGGGTGAGTCCTTGCCAAATGTTCTCTGAGAATGGGGTGTCTGAGGATGCTGAGACAGTGAGATGGGGAAATCACCCTTAAGAGCTACTGTGAAGGGCGCCAGCTCAGGGTGACATCCCCAGTGCTCTGCATGCACTGCCTGGTGGGGGCTGGGGACCTCTGCCACCTTCTACCCCTGGTTACCGCCTCTCCCCTCCCCAGCCCCCCATGTCCCAGGCCCGCGAGGCGGTCATTGCAGCTGCATTCACCAAGCTGGACCGCAGCGGAGACGGTGTGGTGACTGTGGATGACCTCCGTGGGGTGTACAGTGGCCGTGCCCATCCCAAGGTGCGCAGTGGGGAGTGGACTGAGGAGGAGGTGCTCTGCCGCTTCCTGGACAACTTCGACTCCTCTGAGAAGGATGGGCAGGTAGGTGGCTGCATGGTGCCCCACCCATCCCGAGGCAACCCCCCCCAGCAGCCGGGTCCCCCTCACAGCCCATGTGCCTCTAGGTCACACTGGCAGAATTCCAGGACTACTACAGTGGCGTGAGTGCTTCTGTGGACACAGATGAGGAGTTCGTGGCCATGATGACCAGTGCCTGGCAGCTCTGAGCAGTGCCCATGCACTCAGCTGGTGTCGCCGGAGCTACTGTAGGACCCCCTGCCCAGCACAAGTCAGGGCCCTCTTACCTGCGCTCCGGTTGAGCAGGCAGGCACACAGCAGAAACATGGCGGGGGGGGGGGGGGG